GGGCTACGACGAGCACTTTTCCTTCGCCAAGCTGCGCGAGGCGTGCGCGCACCTGCGCGATCCCGACTGTCTGCTCGTGGCCACCGATCGGGACCCGTGGCACCCGCTCAGCGACGGCAGCCGGACTCCTGGTGAGCGCGAGGGTGGGCGGACGACCTGGGCTTTCACCTCCCTGCCTGCAGGTGAGGGTCGGGGAAGGGGCGTCTCCAGGTGACAGGCAGGGGACTGGAGGATTGCTAGCGCAGCTACAACCCAGAAAGAGCCCAAGGTGCTTTCGTGTCAAGGTCTGGTCATTCTTGCAGCTGCCACACGGTGAGGGGCAGCAGTGGTGTCCTCGTTTGATAGATACGGAGTCCAGGTACCCCTACTCCCAGCCCTATCCTTCCTGAAGCAGCCCCAAGGAATCCTGTCATTTTGTCTCACCCGCGATTGGGGTGAGGTCGGAGATTTGAGGACAAAACCTGGCAGGATCATCTTGCTTTGGGAGAGTTGGGACACGCTGTCCAGGGGCAGGTATGCAGGAGCACAGGAGGTGGTTGGAGTTTGACCTGAGTCCAGCTCCAGTCCAGGGCTCTGTAATCTCTTCGGTTACATAACCTCAGATCGTCTCCCCTGGCTGTGAAATGGGAATGCTAACCATGCCAGTTTCATCGGAGTGAATATTGATCTGTGCGCATAGGTGCTCAGATGATGTAAGTTGTATCCAGAGCTGTCAGGTCACAGCATTCCCATATCTGTTCTTATTTACTTTCCAAATTATTCTGGAGATGGGGGTTATTGTCCCATTTCTCAGTTAAAGGAACTGAGGCTCAGAGATGGGGAGTGAGCTGCCCAGGAGTTCAGGGAACTAGAACTTGGATCTTGTGGCCACCCAGCACCCACCCGCTCCATCCAAGGCCCTCTTCACTGCTGTCATCTGGGTGTTCAGACCTGCAGGGGAGGCAGGAGCAGGCGCAGGGTCCTGCATCTTGGAAGGTTCCAGTTAAATGGTAGCGGAGGCTAACTGATAGTAGTGAGTGTGTGGACAAGTCAGTACCCCGGTCAGTCAGTAGGCTGAGGGCAGGGACAGCTCTCCCATCACCTCCTCCTTGCTGGTGACTGACCCAGGCAGTTGTTGGTACCAAATCCTGGCGGGGCAAGGGTGGTACTCATTGAGGGTGTGTGTTATGATGGGGTGGCAGGGAGGGCCTGGAGCTTAGGGGTCTGGGAAGGCTTCCTAGAGGAGACATCTTGCAGAACAGGGCGGCGCTAGGGGAGGAAACATGGACTAGGGCTTGGGCCGTGGCAGAACCAGTTCCAAGCTGGGGATCTGTAGCTCTAGACCTGTCCTGTCTTGGTTGCACAACTACTTGCTGCATGGCCACGTCAGCCTCAGTTTTCCCATAAATCCAAGGTGAGCCCCCCTCTCCGCG